AGCACTCTTATGGATGTTCCGGATCCCCCGGATTACGGTCCCATAGCCATCCGGGTCCATGTTTATGTCACGACCCTAAACTCATTTTTATATCACAGTTCCAAATGTTAAAAAACGCGTTGCTCTAGGATCAGTTTCATGAATGGACCACTACGGATGATCCGGATCCTCCGGAGGACCGTTTCGTTGTCTCCAGGATCCGTATGTAGGAACAATGACTGTATTCTGGCTAATTATGAACATTTGTGCCCTTCTTAATTATAGATCTTAAGCCACACAGCAAAAATTAAATTTTAATATTACATCCAAGAGGATGCTCTTCAATCATGTCGAAAATTTCATGTAAGTAATTTTTATGGCCGCAAAAATAAACAAATACAGTAAAAGCAGCGTTTTGTCTGTTCATGCACTGTATTAATGATAATGTTGTCGTTCTTGGTAAGTAATATTACACCATATTTTTGACACGATTGAAGTGCTTCCACTTTGATATAGTATCAAAATTAATTTTGCTGTGCACATGCAAAACCCATAGTTACATCTGTAACGACACTTTTCGCATTTAAAAAAAAAGAAGACATCTCTATTTTTAATCTTTTAAAAAACAAAATAATTAACAGACCCTAGGAATTCTAGAGGTACCATAATTTTTAGAATTCATCAAGAAATGACTAAGCTACGCCATTACAAACTTGCCGTTACACGCTTTTCGGAGTATTCAAAAGTACTCCAGCCAATCGAATCTGATGGAATCTTGAATGATGAATTTAGATTTTATGGACAAGTTTGTATATTTACCCTGGTGATTTGACTATTTTGTCAAGAACTAGCACTCCAGGATTGTTGAGATGGCATAGGACATTAAATAAAATTTCCGTTCTATTATGTGTGTATTTATAAATATAAAACCACCGAAACCACCAAGTGAATAACAACCCAAGCAGCATTGCAAGTTTTATCGAGGTTTTAAAGCATTCTACAAGTCTAATTCATAGTCTTCAGACCCCTCATAAAACCCAAATTGTTACTTGGGAAATTGGTACCGAATGGGCTCAACCACGATTAACACCATTTCAAATTAAAAATTAAATAACCCAATAATTTTTTGTAGAATGAATTCCAAACAGTATCTAGCTACCAACAAGGGCACAATCATACAAGTTTGGAGCTCAATAGTTAGATTAGAATGAAAGTTAGATTTGGGACTTTAATCTTGATTTTTTATCGAACTCCACGATCAGTACAATGTACAATGTATCGAAAAAAATCTGGATAAATGCTTTATAATTTTCTTTTTTCTTCAAACATTAGAATCTGGAATTTGAGAACCAGTAGGTAGGGGAAATCGATGTAATATTGACCTAAATGCCTCTAATTTAGGACCATACAAAAATTCAACAGTCGACTTAATTTTCAATAGAGTCCAAAAAATATTCATTAGTACCGTCCCGCGCTCATTTAGATAAAGTTGATAATTTGCAGATTCTTAGCGATGGGCTCAATCTTAGATCCATAGGTTAACATTAGAGCCATTTCACCTATCTTAAAAGTCTGAACGAATTTAAATTTCAACCTGATCATGTCAGAAAATGAGATTCGAAATTTCAAAACATTAATGTTGTTTTAGTTCCAATCTCGAAGAGTTTGAGTCCCGAAATGAACCTAGGTAAGTTTTACCAGGTCTTTGTTTACGATTTAATTTTGAAGTCCAAAAGATTAAAAGCTGGTCGGAACTTGAAACTTTTGGTTATTTGATATTTGTATATATTGAAAAACATTTGGTCGATTTTTTGTTATTCCTGGCGTTTTTATGAAACTTCAATGTTCGACTAGGTGGAACATAGGAAAATTTCTCAATTCATTTTTTTAAATAATCATGTAGGTACTAGAATTTTTAAAATAGTACAGTCTTTACATTAGTGTTTAAATTATGATACATAATTATGATAATTACGACCAAATTTTGCGAACTTTTATTTAAATTTGAATTTGAAGAATTTATACTTAAAATCTGTATCAGGGATATTTATTTTGTAATAACAAAATCGTGAAAGCATATGGGTTTGAGATTTCAAAACTCTGTTTCATTTAAGTTTTCAGAATTTTAAGAATTAATCATTGACATGTATTTTGAACAACGGCCAGAAATTTTTTAAATTATAAATTTGAAGTCCTTTAAATAAATATTGGTATCTATGTCTGTGATTTAAATGATAATTGAATATAGAATACATGAAAATCAAAAAATCTAGTTACAAAATTCACGGAATTATCTAACTCGTAGAATTTTTTAACATGATAATTTTCTTAAGTTTGAGATCCTTGAAACACTTATGAGATTGTTTTGAAATAAATATAATTTAATTTAATGTTTCACTATTAAAATAATAGCAAGCCTCGCCATAAAACGTCATATTTTTTGACGAAGTGGAAATGTATCTAACAGGAAGATCAAATAACAAATAGCCTTGACGCCTTTTGATTGAATAGCAGTTCAAGAGTTTCTATTTAACCGTACTTTAACAAAACAAAAAAATGCCACAGGCCCTACCTAGGCCCTCTCCAGTAAAATTTGCTAGCTACGCCAATGATTATTTCCTTACAGCAACTTACAGAAAGCTACAGAAACCTACAGCAAAAGCAATTAAGGAAGTACGGAAACAGAGCTATTGAACCAATGTGCGTTGATCATTTGACCCGATGTCTAGGGAGATTTGGTGAACCTTGATGATACAAAAGATCTAGATCTTAATTGATGCGCATTGACTTTATGGATGATCTATTTGTGAAGGAATTGAATTCCAGCTGGATTTGGAGAACCTAGAACATCTAACATACATCTAAATAGATCGATGATGTGCATCTAATTTGGCTTTATAACGTCCCTACTAGGACTTAAAGTCGGCTCTCAACAAAGTGTTTTTTGAGCACCTCCACAGTTGTTAATTGAGAACTTTCAAAGCCAGTACCATTTTTTTGCATTAGAGCAATTGTACGCCAAATGACCAATCAATAAGATGCCGCAATTTTGAATTTCGTAAAATATAGGAAAACAATCTTAAAAATCGAATGTAACTTGTCTCATCTTGCGCAGTACAGTTTAAGTTGGGTTTAGATCAAATTTCTTCCAAAATTTTTAATTTAAAAAAAATATGTCTCTTTATTTTTTTAAATCACTATATCTAGCACGGTTTGAATTTTTCATATCTTTACCCAAGAAAAACTTTATTTGAATTCTCTCATTGAAAGCAAAACTTTTAATTTTATTTATTTGAGAATACGTGAAACTGAACAAAACAGTCAAAAGTGCCCTTTGCAAATATCTGTGCAAGTTTAACCCATTTTCATTGGATTCTTGTGATATTTTTCTATAGAAAATCGAATAAGGGGTTATTTTTATTATCTTGATGAAAATTTTTGAGAGTTTTACAAAATTTTGAGTTTTTCACAAAAATTGTCTCAAACCTCATCCGAATTTTGAAATTATTTTGCAATGTTATCCCAGTGTGCATTGAAAGCTCCTTATCAATAACTGTGGACCTATTTAAAAGAACACTAAGTTGAGAGCAGACCAGGCATGGAAAATCATTTGCATTCATTTCATACATTCATTTACATTCATTTGTCTCTAACTTTTTCATCAACAGCATTCAGCAAAATGATGTAGAGAACTTTTGAAGGTTTTGTTATTAACTACAAGTTTTGCTCATAACTCAAATCTGTATCTCTTACGCATCACGAACTAGAGCGGGCAGAACTTGTTACTGTTTTTCAGTGAATGTAAAATACATTCACTGAAAAACAGTAGTTGCTTCTGTTCGCTCTGCTTCGTCATGCATAAGAGATACGGATTTAATATGTTAACAAAAGTTGTAGCTATTAACAAAACCTACAAAAGTTCTATTAATCATTTTGCGGAATGCTGTTGAAGAAAAAAGTAAGAGGCAAACGAATGTTAACGAATGCACGAAATTAATGCAAATGATTTTCCATGCCTGGAGCAGACACAAACTCGTATAAGTACTCGTACAAACTCGTAACAAAAAAGAAGACCGTAATCCTTATTTCGTTGCAAACTCGAGATATCTGAGTGAGGACTGGACTCCACGCGTTTCAGCATTCAGAATGTTCAGATTAATCTTCTTTAATTTAACTGATTTTTTTTTTACATCTGCAACCTTAACAGTACTTATTTTAGTTGAAGTGTCAATACAGAACCCTTTTACAATTTAACAATCGTTCGAGGTTAAGCTCCCAATCGCCCCAGCCACTAAACAAATGACAGCCATCTCATCGATCACTCATCACCTACTCGCTAATCAACCATCATTAACCGCGCATCGTACCATAACAGCAAGGGTCAGTCAGTGAGTGAGTAAGTGTGCAGTAGTGTCAGTATCCAGTAGCTACGCCATCTGTTACCCACAGCCACCCATCCGTGGGGAGAGCGGAATTAGCATAATGGGATGAAACGAATTCGTTTCTCCCCCACCCCCGTCATCACGTCATCATATCATTTCAATTAACAACTCGTTTTTCCCTGTTTCCGTAGTTTAAATAGTTGTTGTTTTGACTGTTGAGGCCACATTAAGACCCACCGAAGTTGGCAGTCACCTATAATTAATCCGTTACTAATCGTTAACTAATCCACTAACATGTCGTTTTTTTTCTTTTTCTTTTTCTTCCTCCTTCTTTGATTATAAACCTTCACTCACCACCTTCTACCGTGTCACGCTTTGATTTGCATGGGATTTATCTTCGGACTGCACTATTCGTTCGACATCTGGTCTGAATGTTTGCTGGGTGGTTTGATTTCCTTTTCCTTTCGTTTTCTACACTATCAACCCGCAAACCGGCCACTACACGTTGCCCTGTGACCATGTACACTATTAATTCGCCTTCCTCAATGACTTGGGATTACCTGTACAACACCTGCTACTGTACAAAACGAACCAAAATCACCTTTTCCGTCCTCTAAAACACAGATCTATGCTTTCCAGATGCGGGGGTTCGCTGATATCACGGCGCCACGTGGTCACGGCCGGACACTGTGTTGCCCGTGCGACACCGCGTCAGGTGCACGTGACCCTCGGGGACTACGTGATCAACTCGGCCGTCGAACCGCTACCGGCCTATACATTTGGGGTGCGCTCGATCAACGTCCATCCATACTTCAAGTTCACCCCGCAGGCAGATCGCTTCGACGTGGCGGTGCTCACGCTGGAACGAACCGTGCACTTTATGCCACACATCGGTAAGACACCCGCGGATGCCCGGCTTCCCCCGCAATCAGAGGACGGAATCTGTGACAAAACGTTCGCGTTCGTTGACTACCATTTTAAAACACTTTGTCATAGCTCCCGAATCCTAAAAAAAAAATGAAAGGGGGAAGCTGGGACACGATCGCTTGCTTTTTTCAATCAATTTGAATCGGAAGACGTTCATCCAGATGAAATTACACATACACACTGATCGCCTAACAATCGCCGTATTGTTCATAAGTTGCCTTTACCCATATATTGTGCATCACTATACGACAATCACAAACGTTCACATTCGCACTACTTCCGTTACTTTTTTGATTTCTTTTTTTGTTTTATGTTTTGTTGCATTACCTTTCCATCATCAATTTATGATTTTCCAATCCCCAAACCGTACTGTTGTGAATATTTCTCAAAAAACTTCCTCTTCTCGGTGAACCCGGTGTGTTGTGCTCCTCTTCGGGCTCACTATCCCTCCGTTTATCTGAATCTAACCTAAAACAAACGAAAAAAAAAACCACTCGCAAAACAACCCCATCCCCCTCAAAACCACCAATCCTGCAGCACCCATCTGTCTACCGGAGAAGAACGAAGATTTTCTAGGCAAGTTTGGGTGGGCGGCCGGCTGGGGTGCGCTCAATCCCGGCTCGAGACTGAGACCAAAGACGCTGCAAGCGGTTGATGTTCCTGTGTTGGATAACAGGTGAGTGAGGGCCGTCATCGTCGCCTTCTGGGGTCGTGTGGGTTCCGTTTAACCTCTCTCTCTCTCTCTGTCTCTCTTTCTGCTTTCCGTGACATCCGTATTTCTGCGCAGAGTTTGCGAAAGGTGGCATCGCTCGAACGGAATCAACGTGGTCATCTACCCGGAGATGCTGTGCGCCGGCTATCGGGGCGGCGGTAAGGACTCCTGCCAGGGTGACTCCGGTGGGCCACTGATGCATGAGAAGACCGGACGATGGTTTCTAATAGGTGAGTTCTGGGAGTTGTTGACATAAAATTAATTCATACGCGAAATTTAGATCATTCAAACGTACTGTTTCGTCAAGTAACGAATTTTTCAGCCTCGGAGCACTTAATTTACATGTCATGTTTGTTTACGTCTCAAAGTTTATGTCAAATACGGATTCCGTCACGACCTTCGGATAAGGGTATGCGATATATCGAGTAATTCCGCTTATTTTTCCTTGAAATGGAATTCTACGGAATTTCGCGGTATATTTTGAAGCTGCTTCACTTATTTTTGGTTCCGTTTCGTTTCGTTTAGAGCAGAAAATATTATGTTGAAATATTTTCTTGTTTTTTTTTAATGGAACTTAATTTCATACATATTTTAATTGACCGACAATATTGTCTAATCAATAAAACAAATCGTCACATTCTTATATTATAGTACAGTGTGCTCTGTCTTTTTAACGTTTTCGTTCGCCAAGAATAGTTGAGTTGATCAAACTTAAAAATTATCTTAAAATTTTCGAAATTAATCTCCAATTGCCTAAAATCAGTTGTAATATGTGATTTTTAATTTATACGCTAATCCTGCTGCTGGTTTAATTATACTGAATCACAAATGAAGTATAAATTAATGAATAAAATTATGAGCAAAACCACGACTAAATTGAATATCTCGGCTGACAAAAGGTTTCAGTAAACATGATATACATATTTTTAAAACTCTGCTGAATCGATTGGTGGTAATCTTATTGGCCGGAGACTTTTGCCTGCCGAGATAGAGGGCCGGGATCAACCCGAGTTTTCGGTAAAATAGGAAATTTCACAATTTACTTTATGCATATGATTAAAAATTGATATAACTAAGTATATATGGTGTAACGACACCATATACGCCCTCAGGGAACCTATACTGGTCCAACGGAGGATCGAGAAGGACCGATAAAGTGTCCATATGATAAAAACTTACCTAGAACCTTGTGCGGCCACTTCAACGGTAAATCCAGATTATCCTTAGAATCAAGGTATAGTTATCCCAAAATATCAATTCCATGTTGAATACAATTTGATATCGTGATTCTGAGCAATAGAAAAAAATATCATGGTTCTAAAGACTGTACTCGAAAGAAAAGCAACAGACAAAAATGATCACCAAAAATTAATTTTAAGTCGGATATTTTTGAAACTCTCAACAAATAAATAAACACATCTGGGGTTAGTAGTGGTGGTACTAAGGCAACTTATTTATCAAAAATAAATATTGTATTTCCATAATTGTTTATACGTCAATCTGTAGCTTTCAACTGTAGTTTTTTTTTTGCTAGAAAAATAGTAGATTGCAATAAAATTGCATAAAATTTAAGAAAACACGTCCTCCATTAATCGGAACACTGTTCCAGTAGTTGTGGTTGTTGCTAGCTAAAATCGATTCTTTTGGATCGATTAATCGATTTTTTGAATCGATTGAATCGATCCCAAACACGACAAAAATTGACTGGATCAACACCACACTATCGGAATAACCGGACTGCCCCCAGGAAACCTTAAGTAGGGGACAGTTGCATTTTTAAACCTAAACATGCCGTGCGACAGCTCTTTCTTCATGGTTTTTCATCAGTAGGCTTTCTATAAACTTTAATTGAATCATTGATCTATTTTTCCGCTCACTGAACTACAGACAGGCCTCACGAAAACCTGTAGCAGGGGACAATTGCATTTTTACACCAAAACATGCCGTATGGCAGCTCTTTCTTCACGGTTTTTCATAAAAAGTCTTTATAGACTTGAATTGGATCAATGACTAGATTGGCTGCTCTCGGCACCACTGGGATGTCCCTGAGGTAACCTTTAGCAGGGGACAATTACATGTTTTCACCAAAATGTGCCGTGCAACAGTTCTTTCTTCATGATTTTTCATCAAAAACAGTAGGCTGTGGAGTTTTGACGTCTTTAGGAGAGTTTTTTATTTTACTAAGATTAACAACTTTGTCTAGGACGTCAAGTCAAAATGATATTTCGATGCATAAAAAACTTTTAGAAAAATGTCTTTTTTTTTGTTTAATAATTTATTTGATAAGGCTCAAACGAGTTAACTTTACAGAGCCGAGGATTCTTGCTCACTATACAATACATCTTAAAACTATAGTCAAAAGGTACAACACAATAAACACTTTATCTTCCACTATCCAAAAATCCTCCTCCATCAGAACTGGAGCCGCTTCCAGTAGTTTCATTGTATGGCAGCTACGCAAAGAAGTTCAGAGCGCGTCCATTGCAGCAATGGATGCAAAACGTGGTCAGCACTCACACACTCATCACGAAACGGTTGCTTTCCAAAGTCGACGACGCATCGACCGAAAGAACTGCTGATGAAGAACAATGAGGAGGACCACACAATGGTTGCTGCCGAGAAAACAGACGATCGCATGGCACACATCGAGAGTGGCCTGCTTTTGACGACAGCCAAGTGAACACTGAGAAAAAAGTCTGTTCCGCTAATATGAAGAAATCAAAAAAAAAAAAAAAAAAAAAAAAAAATTTTAATCGAACAGAGTTTCCCGGGATTCGGGAAATAATTATTTTATATTCCGGGAAATGCCGGGATCCCGGGAAGTCAATAAAGATAGTTAGTGGTTTAAATATTAGTATGTTGCTAATTTCTTTTAACGATGTTCTGATATGTAAGTTCATCTCCTTAGAAGAATGATTAAAAAAGGAGATTTCTTCAATACTAGGGACACCAGATTTAACGACATATCTTCATTTTGAAGACATTTAAAATTCTGTGAAGGTATTTTTTTCATGCAGACATTTTGAAGACATTTCATGGTATGTGAAGTTGTTTCAAGACATACGGAAGCTGAAGCAGACTTCCGATGGATTTTTTTTTTAAATTGTAAGCTGGCATATGAAGATTTTTGTTAAATAAATGAAGTTTTGATTTCATATTTTAAGCTTCTTCCTGAATATGTTGAATATGAATAATGTAACCAAAATCGGATATTTCAGAATAAAACTGGATCCAATTGAATATTCACAGGATTTCACGGAAATATTCGATTAGCTGGAGATCTTTTGAATACTTCCTGATCAACGTTCAGTTTTGGGAGAATATCTTCACAATAATACTTGATCAACCTGAAGCCTTGAAAAGTATCCAGAGGACTTTTAAGTACTGCCTAACCGATCTGCCATCTTGAGAGAGCCAATTGAATGTTTGACTAGTTTAAGATCTTCAGATTTTCTGATCAACCTGAATTTACTAATATCTGACCAACCAGACTATCTAGAAACGTTATTTGAATTTTACGAACAGTTGAATATCTTAAGAATAATAATTGATCGACCTGAAGTCTTGAAAAATATTCAGAGATCTTTGAATCTCCGACCAACTGTATATCCCTTAAATACTCTCTAATCAAACTTCCGTCTGGGAATGATGTCTAAAAAACGTCTTTTGAATTTTTGGACACTTGCATATCTTAAGAACATTACTTGATTAAGCTGGAAAGTCATGAATACTATCCTGAGATATCATCACAAAGCCGTGAATATCAGTTATACGAAGATTCGTCTACTTTCAAGAAGTTTCTTGAACTTAAACTCAGTTCCATGAACTCAAAGCCTATATAAATTTTCCTGAATATGTAGAATATTCTACGAAACCTGGGAATTTTCGTCAACTTCTTCGAAGTTCCCATTACTTCAAAGATTTTCCCATAGCTTATTTTTTTTTTAATTTTTCGATAGGTACAACTGAATTTCTGCCCAGCTTGCTGAACTTGTACGAATTTCAAATAATACATGCGATGTTCCGTAATCATCGTCCACGAAGTTGTTTAACATTCTACGAAGTATCTTGAAGATGGATGATGGTCCCTGAACTTGTACGAAGTTCCACGAACTTCTATGAAGTTCTCTGAAATCAAATAAATGTCTCTTGACATCTAAGAAGTTCCCTAATGGGACGTGATATTATATTTGTCAGCCAAATTTCACAATATTCCGTGCAGATCATGGTTATGATTATGATGATGGTGGATTATTTCTCTCATGAATGTATAAGTAAAAAATATTTTGCCGTGCTTGAGGATTACATAGATTACAAGCTCTAATTTTCCGCGGGCCAATATCTATATTTGTGCCTTTGGGTGAGAAAACCATTATCTGAAAGTTTCAGCACATTTGGTTTTAAGATGAGCTGGCACTTTTAGTTTGAATTTTGTATTGGGAATTTGGTTAAAATACATGAAAAAATGACTCTCCTACACTCTATCGATCATAACAAAGTTTGCTTATTCTTAATTTGATTCAGATTTTCAAAACTTGTAGTTCAAATAATGAGTAACAAACTTGCTAAAGATTGCATCACTAATCCAGTTAGTTTTATTGAGATATTCGCCTTTGAATGTATATGAGCATTTTGTATATGAAAATTTCAACCAAATCTCCTATATTTGTTCTTCGTCTTCGACAGTGTCGTACAGACTAGTTTAACTTATGCTATGTTTTTAATCCTATTGTATGAACATATATATGAACACTAAACCAAAAGCGCCCGTCCGCTTAACGAGCTGAAACATTCAAAGTGTGGTTATCTCACCTACTGACACGAGTCAGGATGTTGAAAATATAAACTTTTATTTTTTTAGTTGTAATCTAGTTGATACGTTGCACAAGCTGCCTGTATTTTGTCGCAATATACGAACAAAATGCATATATAAATTCAAGAATGAATATCTCCATAATACTAACTTGCATCATGATACTTTCTTCAGGAAAGTTGTTGCTTATAGTTTAAGCTACGTGTGCAGAAATTTTGAGCTTAATCGAATTTGCTGAACCAGTTCTATGCATGAAATAGTGAAGAAATGTTTTTTCTCCATACATTTCAACCAATATCCCCATATAAATTTTAAATCAAAAGCGCCAGCTCGTGTTACATTCGAATGAGCTGAAATTTTCAAAGAGTAGTTTTCTCACCTAATGGCACAAATCTAGGGGTTGGCCCGTTGAAAAAAAAAAATGATAAAAAATTTCCCCCATATAAATGTGGGCCAGTCTAGTAATGCATACCTTTCAACGTAACGAATGACAGTCAGGGAGAGTTATGGAAGCCAAGATAGAAGTCGGTGACATATAGAAGTTCGTCCAGAAGGGGTAAGCATTTTACAAGATTCCACTCGCTAATCTAAGGAAGGACTCTAAAAACTGCAAATACTTAGTCTTTTCATCAGTTGAGACTCGTACTACGTACTTTCAACCATCTTAACAATGCATTTCAATGGTTTTCGACCAACTATGAAAGATGGACATCTCACGACACTTAACCTGATTGAATCACAATGTTCACGGTTTTTTCACTGCTAGATCGTATTTTTCACGAGTGCTTTTTGTACAACGATCATATACAAAAAGTGATGTCTGTGTGCAATTCTTTCGAAAAATCAGAATGAATGGTAAACGAAGGGAAGAGATATATTTCATAAGATGTGAAGTTCTGGATTCAAATTCTGCTACAGATATTCCAAGAAAGATTTAAGGTGGTAAAAGAGTCTCAAATTTTAAAAAAATCCCGGGGTACACGCGATCCCGGGATTCGGGAAATCCGAGAAATGTAACAATCCCGGGATTTTTATCCCGGGACATCCCGGGACATCCCGCGATGGAAGCTCTAATCGAGTATTGCTTAATTTTGGCTGAAACTGTCAGGTTGTAATTTTTCGTGCTTTGGGAAATATTAAAGCTCAGAAACTGCTTTTTTCCGTTTTTTTTTTCAACAATATCTTTAAAATTTGAAGCTCAAACCAGTATGTTTCTTCACAAAAGTTCTTTATTTAATGCATTTGCATAATAGAAAAATATAACATTATATGGTTGTAAGCAAAACAACCGAAAAAAAAAGAAAAAAATAAACAGATTATTGCCATTTTTTTTTTCGTCAACTCCATAAAACTCGGAATCAGTAGGCTGTGGAAATTTTACGTTTGAGTTGTTTATTTTGTCAAGATCAACAACTTTGCTGAAGGGCACCAAGTCTTCAAAACGTCAGAAAAAGGTTGATTGTGGTGCCATCTTTGCGGAAGTTTGAACTATTTGTTTATGTCAATAGATGGTCCTTATTATCATGAGCAACTTTGCCAAAGACACCAAGTTACGAAAATGCTTTTTTTTTGAGTTATTAATTTAGCTCCATTAGATTGCATTTCTGGCCCAGTGTGAAATGAGACCACCACCAATCGATTCAGCAGAGTTTTAAGAATATGTATAACATGTTGACTGAAACCGTCTGTCAGCCGAGATATTCAATTTAGTTGTGGTTTTGTCAATTTTCGCCCACTGTGCACTGGCTTCATAGTAAGCCCGATATGGCATTAACGACAATACGTAAATTAAGGCTCAGACACCAATCTGATTATTAAACATTTTAAAGAGACAACATTCTATTTAGTGTCATTAGGAAGATTGACAAGTAGATAGTTGGCCACTTTAAGATGATACGTAGGTTGCAGCGAATCATAAACTGGTCCTACAGAAGACCCACAATGACCTTGTTGCCATTCTGAAAGCTGATTCTACAGTTACACGTTCTATGAGGGAAAACGCTATTTTTAATTACAGGTATACCTCGATACAACGTAACTATCACTTTTGACTTCCATTGTCGATATCTCACAAATAACAATTCAGTCAAACAAATTGGCATGACTAATAGGTGTTGGGTTGTCTCATATATCCGATGGTGTTATTACTTTTTTTGATTAAATGATTGTTAGCTAGACATCAGCGATGGAAGCCAAAAGTGACAGTTACGTTATATCGAGGTATACCTGTATTTAGAAAATACACTCTGAAAGTAACACCAGGTCTTTTATGGTGGTTAATCTTTGTTTCTCCATAAGTATCCAGCTTCGCAAGCCGAATTTATTTTGTTTAATCAAAACTATCTGGTCGCAAAAATATCGATATAGGATGTACAAAGAGCTTAGGGGAATATCCTAAATATCCACATAAATTTCGATAAGTTCAGGGAAGTTCCGAGGACTATATTGAAGTCCAGTACTTTGGAAAATTTAAAAATATTTAAGGGTAAGTTCTGAAAAGTTCTGAGCAGTTCCATGAACTTATAAAAAAACGAGTTTGATGAGAATCAGTTAACTTCAAGACAATTGCATTAATTTCAAAACCTCTACAAGAACTTCGAGAAATCTCTTGCTAAGTTTAAAGATCTATAAAAAAAATGGTCAGTTAGCTTCGGGAAAGTTTTGAGAAATCCATGAACATCCGGAAATGTTTGGGAATATTTGGAAAACAAACACGGCGGTCATAGTTTATTTTGTGTAGTAAGGGTCACGGTAGCCCAAAAATGTGAAAGTTTTATGGATTCTGTTCGCGTCTTACGTAAGGACCAAATGGAAATAACGAACATCACGTAAAAGTAGATTTTAATGAAGGCATAAGCACATTTTCGTAGCTTTCTTGTCTCCAGGCTTAAAAGATCATCGGTTGTGGAGGCTGCCGTCAAGTTTTTGAGTTTGAATAAATCTCAGGTCCTATCGTATTAAGGAGACGTATAGTAACATCGTTTGATTATTGTGTGTTTTGTGAAACTTCACATCGTCATCACGTCGCCGTCCATAATATCTCTGATCACGCCTTCCTAAAGTAACATCTCTGATCACACCTTCCAAGATCGACGGAAAACAAATCAAGGCAAAAGGGATGTGATTTGAGGAGCTTGGTAGCCTTAGAGCTTACTGAATAGAACATCATGAGTTTAATCCCAAACCTCTCCTAATTCAAGATTCGTTATTTGCTTTATTTGTTAATATGAATACATGGGAACAAATTGATCATTGGTATGTTGTCATAAGAGGAGCTTGCTTGTCTAGTGGCAAACGTTTTTGCTTACAAAGCAGAAGACCGTGTGCTCAAGTTTAAGCTCCTTCGTGGTATAGGATCGATAGGATATCAATTCAGCTTATCGTTTACCAAAACGAATCCTGCTGACACCCAACCATTTTATCCAACATCCCAGTGATTTCTCGTGGAAGTGCAGAGCATTTCTCGGCTTTCTACAAAGCGGGTATCATGCCAACACATTCCTACCCATTCCTTTCTTGACCTGCGTTCGGGCACGGCTGGTGCTGGTGTTGCCTAGTTTGAGATCATCAGTTTTTATATATTGAGGATGAATGCTAGTCCCAAGCATCGTCTATTGGTTCTCTGTGTAATTACAGCTGCTCTGGCAATAACGGAGTAGCATCCGCGGGCAGTCCATCATGCTCATGCTCATGCTCAACAAAAATGCGTTTTCTAGCACGTTTTGATTTGTTATTCAATTATTAGAAAAGATACAAAAAATCCAATCTTATATTCCTGAGAAAAAATGCATGTTAAATGTATATACTGTTCAGGAGGAGCAACCCAAATCCAAAACTTTGCAAAACATAAAGGGAAATTGAAGATAACCGATCGAATAGGTTTTCACATTCTCAAATATAGGAAATGAAGCAAGGGAATTTCGATATAGGATGATAAAGATCCAATTTAGGTAGTAGGAGTCAGGTCTCTTCGAAAAAACATTACACTTGAATTTTCTTTTAAAACTGTGTTTTTTTTTCTAGATTTTCTAGATCTTTCCCAATATTTTCTAGCATTCAATACATAATTTGTTTTGTTTAGTTATGCTTCCCCTTAAAGTGAAAGTCAATCGGTTCAAAATGACTCATTTCTTCGATTTTTTTTTAAATAACGCAACGGTCAACCAATAGAGCTCTTCCGTCCAAAATTAAAGAACTAAAATTGCTATCGCTAGCAATTTTCACAAGATTGATTTATTGTTTAAATTTTCTGGAAATTATAAGTTCAATTTTAAGAATGATTAATGGCTCTAATGTTGGCCTATGGATCTAAAATTTGGCGCATCGCTAAGAATCTGTTATTTATCAATTTTATCTAGATGAACGCGTCATTGGTACGCTGCTAATGGATATTTTGATCACTATTGAAAATTTAGTCTTTTGCTGCATTTATGTATAAGCCCAAATTAGAGGCATTTAGGCCGACATTACATCCATTTCCCCTCATTAATTGCCGATCAGTACCAGTCTTCCTTCATTCCAAAGACTGTGCATAGTCAGCTTTATATTTGAATTTTGATCACCAAACCACAACCTTCTACAATTTAATCTTCCCCCATTCTTTTAGGTATCGTGTCCGCGGGATACTCCTGTGCCACACGGGGTCAGCCCGGTATCTATCATCGCGTCGCCAATACCGTGGACTGGATTTCACACATCGTGCAAGCATCGCCACAATAGCATAAGGATGACGACCTCCAGCGAGCCAACGCAGGCACCGTAGTTGAAGTCGTCAATCGAAGATGGTGAAGATGAAGAAGAAGAAAAAGGCACCACAGGAGTTACACTTTCACAAATGCGGAAAAGTGCACTCACAACCAACCTAACAGACCCACGCTCACACCTACATTTCATCCCTGAAGACAGTCCATAGATGTATAAGCTGATGATCCTTGTTCTTCACTCTCCCTGGTGTTATTCTCTATTTATGACGCAAACACGAGTTTGACTATTTCAGAGCAACTTGAACAAAAACGAATTATTTATGTATTTATTTGTTTTCCGGTGTAAAAAAGTCAAAGTGAAGCTACGAATGCAATCGCATTTTGAACACCAGTTTGAAAAAGGCCTATACATATTTATGCTGAAACCCTCTCCAGTCTTCGGTTCTACCCCATGCTACGCAAGATCTAGTGCTTCTGTAAAGTTAAAATGTACTTAGGAAAATAAACTTGATTGTGATATATGTACTGACGAGGGATCCTGGGTGATAGCCAATAAAGTAAAAACATAGTGAAACAGAACAAATCACCCACCAAGCGAGGAATCTGAATGATAAGAATGAAGACACTAATAACATGTTTCTGTGAAACTGTTCAATTAGTATGAACCTGTACGTAATAATGCAACAAAATACAGCAAAAAAAAAATAAAAATAAACGAATTCTATCACTTACTATACAGTTTTCTGAGAGCGCCAGCCGTGCAGGCCATCGTTCAAAAGAAGGAGGAGCGCACGTGCAACTAGATGCTTAAGACTATTAACCGTAACTTCTTTATGTAAATATGAAACTACTGTACCCCTCTTTTCCCGGTAGGCTGCAAACCAGCATAGGTAACTCTTTAAATGATGTTTTTTTTTTTAGAAAAAGGTAGATAACTAGACAAAGCTAATCGCGAAGGAAACTAAAAATAAACACCTGAAAAAAAAATCGAACAGCTATCAAACTAGTGTAGGGGAAGACGAACCCGATTGTTACCAGCATGAATATATGTATTTTGTAATAAAGAAGAACAAAAAAAAAACCAACGATGAAAATGGATTATTTTTCACGAAAACTGTGCTTAAGCCCGAAGAAGCATGTAAAATTCCAGCAGTTCGCTCGGTGAATGAAACTTGAAGCGAAAGCTCGATGATTGGCTGAAATAAATGCATGCGCCTGGATGTATACTATACACTTTTTGTGCGAGCGGTTCGTTTCATTTCCGATGTCCCGTAACTCAATAAACATTATTTTGTGTAACTCTGCCACTTGATCTATGGGAGACTTTTTAGGACGGGTATTTTTGAATTTTGGCAATACAATCAGATTATAAATGATATAAGATAAATTTTAAGACAAATTGATTTGAAACATCCAGAACAAACAAATACGAATCCAGTCAGGAGACTGACATACAAACATAGCAATTATCGCCAATTTCGGTATTTTTTTTCGAAATTTCAGCTCAATCAAACATACTTTTCATACAATAACGAACTTTTTCATCCTTTATGTCAAAGATGGATCTCGTCACATGTTAAATTAGTTATCCTGTCACCCTTAGAACATTAGCCATACGAGTGATTGCTAAACGTACGATTGCCATAAAGACGATATCCATAATAGACGAAAGCCATAATGTACGGTAGCCATAACAGACGTAAGTCAAAATTTTGTTGTATTGGATTTATTAAATCCAATTGCAATGCTGTACCCGTTATATGCCTGAAAATGTAGTCTTGCCGAAACTGAACGGCTTTATTTTAAAATGTCTTCTATGATTCCGATGATTTTGGACCATCGAGAAGCAGTGAGGAATCATCTTCATGACTAAGACTTTCATAATTTTAATTATTTTAAACATTGCCACCGCATGGAGCGAAAATACATAATCTTAAAATCCGTTAAATTGAACCCCGTCCCAAAATCGAACGGCTTTGTATTTTTTTTTTTTGCCAAGGTCGAACGGTTACTGTACCCACAAATATGTTTGTTTTCTCTTTAGAAAAATGCAATGGAAATGCACAAATCCTTGCTTGCTTTAAGTTGACTCCTTCTTTAAACAATAAGTTCTAGATAGAGCTGAATTAGGGCGTAACAGCTTTTGTAAACAATGACTTCTCTTGATGATTTCTCAAAAGTCATGCATCACCCTGGAAAATCAACATCACCATCGAGTAGAGGAAGACTTCTGCTACCCGATGGATACATTGGTTTGTGTTGGCGTGCCTTGTATTTCTAGAAATCAACGGGAGAAGTAATTGTTTACAAAGGCTGTTACGCCCTAATTCGAGCTCATTCAAGAGTTGTTCGGTAACGGATACATGCTTTTAAAATTTTATCATAAAATACTCATAAATTAAGTTGCTCTTGGAGTTGACTCCTTCCTTTTATCTTGAGCTGTTCTTGGACAGAAAAAAGCTTTTGAAAATTCCATCGGAAAATTCTCAAAAGTGACAGAGTTGATTCCTTGTTTACAGTATAACCTGTTATTTGACATTTTCTTTTATAAAAAAAATATTGAAATATTTACAAATTATTTTTTTAAGTCACGTCATGAGCTGTTTTTAGATAAATAAAATAGTAAATTAAATAATTCCATTGAGATGCTCACAATTAATTCCTAACTGCAGTACGAAAATATCGCACTGTCCGCGTTCTACTCACAATGGCTGATTTACCAAGCACAATTGGCAAGAATGAATGAGAACCAACTTTCAAAAAAATCTTCTAGCTATGGAGCGCAGGTTGGAACAATTGACTAATACCATAATGGTAACTCTAAGACTAGTAGGTCCCGAAGAAATGTGCTCAACTTTTTGGTTCAGTTCTGGTACTATCTTCGGTCCCAAGCTAATCGATTCACCCCTCGAAACATAGGAAAATCAACTAACCCCTCATTTTATCTGTCAAACTTTCATAGCGAATCAAAACAAACATAGTGTAGTACTAGAATTTTGACTAGAATGGGGTACGTAATCGATTTGCTTGGGACCAATAGGCTAGTCAAGTAGTGAGCCAATTTGAAATCGTTAGTTTCGTATTGATTGTTGCTAATACCATGCACTTCAAAGCATGGTTGTATATCGATCCGAGGATTAACTAAATTATTGGTACTGGCATTTATCGCAACTTATATTGAAATTGGTCTTAACTTTCAATTCATATTTTCCAATTGTAAATTTGTAAAAACGTTTAAATAAAGTTTACCCAATCTTAAAATAAAATGATCATAATTTTTTAAAGAAATTGACAAGATTTCAAAAGAAGCATTCAACATATTTTAACAATATTGATCACAAGTTTTCTCCAATTTCAGCAAGATGATCACAGCTTTACTAAGCATCGATCATAATTTAATATATTGATTGTGTCTTTTTACCAAGAAATTGGCCATAATTGTTTGTGAAAATGATAAAAAAAAAATCCAAAATTGCTCACTTTTTACATTGCAATGCCGAACTTTAAAAAAAATGGTCACTACTTAGAATGTAAAAGGTAATCACAATCTTTAACAAAACCCACAGTCTTCGAATTTAATCACAACCTCATTGAACGAAAATCTGTCGCAATATAACAAAAAATCAGCTAGGGTTTCTGATCCAATTTCCGTCCTACTAAGCACATCCCGCGCTTTACCTCTCTTTTTTGAAAGGGTTTGAACAAAGCATAGAATGTTTTCATTAAAGATAGCTTTTAAATTTATTCACCTTTCCATACGTACCATTGGATTTGATAAAGAGTCAAACAATGTTGAGATATTACTAAAAATCTAACGCTGCTTCTTGATTCTACATTCGTTCTACGAGTTTCAATTCCGTCCTAACGCATTGAAACGCCATTAGATTTTCTTCGTCCTATGGATGATGGTAGGAAAAGTGAATTCGCTAGGAGCGCTTCTTTTGTTTTGCGAACAATGAGTGTAAATATTCATACAATGCGCTGTAATAGGCTTCATGTTGTGGCTTATGAACTAACGGATCGGAACAAACGTTTTATTGTTTTGTGCATGGTGAAATCATTGATTTTATTGATGATTTCTGCTCAATAGAACGGAGATGAGCGATTACGACGAAGTAGCGCTCTTCCTCATGTGTTTTTTTTTTTCGTTTTTCAGTTATATTTTTTGAAATTATCAAGTTTTGGGTTTTCACCTAATACTCCTTTGCGACTACACAACTATGCATCTCCATTGATACATAGCTAACATAGTGACATTACACAAAATTTAATATGTTGTGTAAAAAATCCAAAATTTTCTAGGAAAAATATAAAAACATATTGTGCCCTCTGTCCACGAACCATGAAAACCATAAATAACAAATACTATTAATATTTTTTAATATAAAACCCCAATTTTTCAAAACCATTTAATTTTTTTTTCGAAAAAAGTATTTTTAATTAGCTTTCATTTGATATTTTGACCTTTGACATCGGCCACGTGGTTCAAAAATTTTAATATGTTTGACGTAGGACTACACACTTAGCTTTTTCTACCGAGCTCGGCTGTGCAAATCTCGGCAAAAAAAGTTTCACTGAGATCTCAGCAAACATTTCATTTGTTTGCTGAGATTCAGCTAAGCATTATCCGAGACTCAGCAATCAAATGTCACTTTTGCTGAGATCTCAGTGAAACTTTTTTTTTGCCGAGATTTGCACAGCCGAGCTCGGTAGAAAAAAACTAAGTGTGTACGTCTTTAATTTCTTTACTGGGGGTCATATTAAAAAAAAATCAAAATTCAGACATGTAACGAAAAATCTCAAACACGGACGCAACGATAGAGCACAAATCGAACACACGACACATTGCATATGCGCACATGAGCGAGCTCAATACTCGATTTGCGCTCACCATTTCACCAATGAAAGGAAGGAAGGAGAAAAGCAGCGATAATAAAATCACTTGCCATATCGTTTTCTTCGTCATGATTCTCTGCTTGATCGTCAAGCAGTTCAGTTCGGTGTTAGCTCGCTCTCTCGAGTTGTTTGAAAAGTTCGTGGCGTTAGTGTTCGCGCTCTCGCGGTTAGTGTTCGCGGTTTGTC